CCCCTCCCCCTCCACCCTTCGCGTGCCGGCCACCCGGGAGGCCGCGGTCACCCAGGCATTTTGATTCATTCACACTGCAGGAGCGGCCGTGACGTCGCTTTCCGCAGGGAGGCCCGCCCTACAGCCAATCCCCCAACCCGGCCGCGGGCAGCAGACCCCGGCCGGAGTGGGGGTCCTGGTGCCCCAAGGGAAATTGCCGGTGCAGGAGGGCGGGGCCGCAGGGAGCTGGGCGGGGCCTCGCACCCCTCCCCCCACGCCCAGCGGAGCGGGCTCGCGCCCGGGCTATAAATGCGGCGGCTGGCTCGGCCCCGGCAGCAGGTGGTACGAGACAGCGGTGTCCGGGGGCTGGCAGGGTTCTTGGGGTCCTGGGAGGTCCAGACTCGTAGTCTCCCTGTCCCTCCAGACTGAAGGGCGGAATAGGGTGGGACAGACCCTCGGGAGGCCCGGGCCGCGTGGCCGCGTCTACCCCTCGCGCGTTCTCGGTCCCCGGCCTCTCCGCCCGACCCAGCGCGCTCCATAACGGGATGACTCCATCCAGCCTCCTCCTGTTCTTCTCCAGCCAATTCGTTTCCCTCCGGCACTTCTCAGTCCCTGCTCTTCCCCCCCCGCGTCTGGCTGAGACTGGGCCAGGGACAGCTGCTTCCTTCCCCTTGGCCGGGTCCCGGCGCAGCGCCTTCGCGCGGCCGGGCCTCCCCAGTCGCCCCGCCGGTGTCGTCCTACTACTGTCCAGCTCTGTCCAGCCCTCGATCCCCAGAGACCTCTGTCGCCGGCTGCACCTGCGGGAGCTTTGCACAATTCCCGACCTCGTGTGTGCGCGAGGCGGTAGTGTGCACGCGGACACTTGAGGCTAACCAGCCAACGGGCTTGTGCTAGTGTGTGTGTGTGTGTGTACATACACATATTAATACGGTCTGCGCTGTATATAATCCTCAATGCGAGTTTCTGGTGGGAAGAGTTTTCGGCGGAGGTCCTCTAACGCTTTATCAGATACTAGACGCCTCCCAGTGCAGGCGCGGGAAGCCCACCCAGCCTGCCCCAGATCCAGCCGCCCTCCGGGTCCCAACCCCGGAACATCCTTGCCCGGAATTTCGTTCTAGAGATGAAGACAGACATAACCTCCCAGCCTAGTGGGATTCAGCTTGGGCAGGAAAGCGAGGCTGTGTACCCTCCCCAGCCTTCCAGAGAGTTCCCCATCCCTTCCTCTTTCTTGGTGTGTGGAAAGGAGACAGCCACCTTTCAGGGTGGATGAGGGAGGAGTGTGAGAATGGAGGAGGGTGGCTGCGCTGCTTTGAATTTGTCTCCAGTGAGGTCACAGTGACTTCCATATGTCCTGGCACTGGACTGGCATCATCTCTTCCCCTGTTTACCTGCGAGGTCACTCCAGGGCACGAGACAGAGATTATGTGCAAGGAACAAAAAGCAAAGGGCTGGTGATATTTTCAGTGCTTACCAAAATGTTTTCTACAGAAATGTAACTAGTAAACAACCACGGAGACATGCCAGCCTCGTTAGCAATCAAAAATACAAAAAACAAAAACACAGTACATTCCTCTTTTTGTTTGTTAAATGGGGGGGGGGATTGCAAAAAATCGTGGAGTTCAGTGCTGGTGAAGGTGCTTGGGAACCAGTGCTGTCACGAATATTGCTGGTGTGCTTACAAACTCTTAAAACCCGTTTGGAAAGCAATTTGGCAATATGTCTCAAACCCATAAATTTTCCATACCCTTTAGCTCATCTAATTCCATTTTTTAGTGTCTACTCCATGGAAAAGGAATTTTTTTAAAAGTTTCATGCCCTTAAATATGTATTGCAGCATTGTATTTTGGAGGAAAATAACCTAAATATCCAATTAAAGAAAAGTGGTTTTAGTAAATATGTTAAATTTGTCAGGTGGTATGTTGTACAGTTATTGAAACTAATTATGGGCTCTAGCAATATGGGAATGCCTATGAAATACTAAAAATTTTTAAAGGGTGCAGTAGGATGTGATTATAAATCTGCAAAAATGTTAGTCAAATATAAAAGCAGTGATTATTCCCAAAGTTGGTTAGGGGATGGGAAAATTAGAAAACAAATTCCTGGTGAAGATGCAAAGAGGGGAAATATCTCCTGAGAGCATTTTGGAAATATGTCTTATAGCCTGAAGTATGATGACCCAATTGTGAAGTGATGACCCAACCCATGTAGAAATTTACCCAAAGAAAGTAGTCAAGAATATTTATAAAAATGGAGTTGCGAGGATCTTGTGACGTTTTCAAAAGAGAATGACTTAAATATCCAACAATAAATCATGAAATAAACTATAATGAAATTATTAAATAGAGTAAGAAGAAGGTTATGAAGTCATTAGAAACAGTATAATAGAAGGATATTTGCTAATGTATAAAACTGAGACTTATTAGGAAATGGGAACAAAGAACATGAAGCAGTATGAAGTTTAGAATCTTTTACAAAAGCAGCCCAAATACGAAAAAAATACTAAAATATAAAAATGATTCTCTGTACAGTGAATATTTTTATTTTGCTCTTTCCAAGTTTTTCTAATGACTGTATGATTTTATAAAGAAGAAACATGAATAAAAATGTTTTTAAGACATTGAAAAAAATTGGAAGGAAATATATCCGAACATCATTTCAAAGTACATTAAGAACAAGTGTGTTAGGGAGATATATTACTGGAACTCTCTTTTTTTCTCTTTTCCATATTTTCTGTATAGTGGTTATACTTTTTCAGCAAGATTAGTAAAAGCATGTTTCTATGCAGTATAGAGCATGTGTAGTAATTACTTTTATCATTTAAAATTATGCTTTAAAATGTTTTCTGCAGCTCCTGCTTCCCTGGTATGAACCTACTGGGGTCCTGCCCTCGCCTGGTTGCATGTCACTAAGTAGCAAGCTGTGGGGGCTCGCCTGTGTCTGGGGCTGACTCAGGGATGTCATTTTATCTTCAGCAGAAGAGCCCAGAAGGTCAGCCTGGCTCTCAGTTCTTGAACCTGTGAACAGCAGCCCCCAACACCTCGGTGTCCCCACAGGTACACATAATCAGCCAATAAATGCCTTTGTCCACACTCTGAGACTTTGCTAAAGGCATTTGCCCCCAGGTAGGAGTTGGTCCCATTGCCTGATCTCCCATCTACACTGACCAGGACCCTTCATTTCCCTCCTGGAGTTTTAGTAAACCCATCTGCAAATGAGGGACCCATAGCAGAAAGCTTTCTTGAACTAAATATCTTTAGTGCCTACTGCTGCTGATAGTAACAATAGTAATAGTATGAGGTGGCAATAATAACAACCAATATTAATGAAAAGCTTACAGCTATGGGCCCAGCTGGTGGCTGGATCCCACATGGCCGATTGCACAGTCTGAGTGCTGGACCTGGCAGCCTGAAAAACACGCTGGGCATATGTGTCTATGGCCCAAACTCCTGCGAGGAGAGAGGAGGAGAAGGGATTGTGGCAGGGCCATCTCCCTCGGGGAGGTTATTTCTCACTTCCTCTCTTGTTTCTCTCTTTCTTTCTTTCTCTCTCTTTCCTATCTTTCTGGAAAGTGCATACACCCCATAGTAAAAAACTAGAAAAAAAATTTTAAAAGTTTACAGCCATGTCAGGCACCGAGGCCAGTGTTTCTCCCCACAGGATCCCATGAATTCTTCACAAGGATCTTGTAATGACTCGGTGGCTGAAAAACCGAGGCTGATAGGTGCTGAGCTAGTCTCTACCCCAAAAGGATGGGAGAATGGCTGTCTCCCACAGAGGTCAGGTAACCTCTGCTGTGGAGTGGCTCAGGAAGACTCAAGGTCGGACTCAGAATGAACTGAAATCTCTGGACTGACTCAGCAGGGGTTTTCTCAAAAAGTCCGCCCAGAGCGCTGGCAGGTGACCAACTGCAGATCTGCTCATTTGGGCAAGCCCCGACCGGAGAGAGGGCCGGTGGTGATGCGGCTTTCCTCCCATCTAAGTCGGCCCATATCTATGACAAAGTACCTAGTACTTTCTGGACATTTCTACATTACATTTCTGACAACCAAGCCCAACTGTCAGTGGATCTAATTCTGAGGGAAGAAACCCAGGTTAGAAAAATGATGATAGCTTACATTTGCCTAGCATTTTACAAAATTCCTCCAAATATTTTATCTCATTTGATCTTCACCATTATGCTTGGGCTTGGGTATGATGCTCAGGAAACAGAGAGGTTAAGTGGTTTGCCTAAGGTCACACAGCTAATAGTTGCAGAGCTAACTGGAAATTAAATCCAGCCATTTGACTTCCAATCTGGTGCTCTTTGCACTTTGTATAGCAGAGGTTTCTGCTATAGGGCACGTGCGCTCACCAGACAGACAGAGACAAAGAGATAGAAAGTGAGAAATCACCCCCCAGGGTGGATGGCCACACAGCAATCCCTTCTCCTCCATTCTCCTCTTGGGATCTTGACCACGCATGCACACGCGCCCAGTGTGAGTTTAAGCGACTGGGTCCGGGACTTGAACCGCATTCGACTATGTGGGAGTCCAGCAACATAGCCATTACGCCAACTGCTGGTCCCAGCAGGCTCATGTCTTCTAACCCTTCCATTGTAAGCGCTTCACATAGTGGGTGAGTTTACCCTCAGAGGCCAGGGATCCTGAACCCCAGCCCCTTTCTTCCCGGAGGAGCAAATCTCTCAGTCTCT